TGCTTCACTGTAGGAATGATAATAGCCAGACACTTGTGTATCTGCAGCACAATGACCTTCAGAACGTGAAGGGGTCTGAATACTGTATCTACTGTTTAAATGAGTTCCAGCCCTGTTTGAAAGTGGGTAACATCAAGTGACTTAGCATTTCAGACAAACATGTATTGTCCTCCTCAACAGGCGATCAGTGGCCAGGCCATAGACAGACACTTGCTGGGCCTTAAGATGCAGGCCATGGAGGAAAAACTTTCTGTTCCTGATCTTTTCAAAGACGCTGCGTATGCTAAAGCCTTACACTACAAGCTGTCTACAAGTCAGGTATGGGCCAGGAAAGAATCACAGAAAGCAAAGTAATAACATGGTATCTGTAAAATTTGATGAATTGAGATAGAAACACCCAACAGATGGTCGATATAAGTTAAACTTCTTTGCTATATAACCACAAGGTTCTCATTTCTTCTCAAGGTACCGTCCAAGACTGACTGCGTGATGTGCTTCGGCCCGGTGGTACCCAATGGCTACGGTGTTTGCTACAATCCCATGGAAGATCACATCAACTTCGCAGTGTCGGCGTTCAACACGTGTAAAGAAACCAACGCAGCACATATGGCTGAGGCAGTGGAGAAGGCTCTGCTGGACATCAGGACACTGCTGGAGCAAACGCCGAGAGCCAAACTGTGAAGCTGGTCATGGACGACGTGGAAGCTACAGGTCAACAACCACTCGCAGTGACGTGGACGTCCTGGTGTTGGGCTACTAGTCAGTAGTCAGAGCCAGTATTCAGTTTTCTCACCAGATTGCCGATGATCACCGTGCACTTTAAATGATGCTGGGACTCCTGCTGTAGTCAGACCGGCTGTTCGTCTGGTCGCAGCTTCTTACAGACGTTTCTGTTTCGATTCCTAACACAGATGAAGCACCTGTTTACAGCAGAGAGATTCTAATGTTTGCCAGTAGAAACCATCTCACTGATGGATGTTAATGGATATTTTATTGTTGACAAATCGCCTGATGAGGCCAAAGACCAACAATCAGTGAATCCTCGAGAAATTAATCAATCTAACGAATATTAAATTAAGTTTTTAATAAAATGTAAACTATTCTGATGACCTCTAAATAGTTTTATGTCCTTTTTCTGGTTGTAGTTTAAAGGTTCCAGCATCATAAATATAAACGTGTTGATTTTATGAGTCCTGACTAAAACTTTGACCCTTTGGTGGGACAAAGTCACATTTCTGGGACACTTTTCTGATGTAGTTGAAGCTACGACGGCCACTCACTGGTTTTTAACTGGATGCCTTAAGGCCTGTTTCTGAACATTTACAGTGATTGTAGCTAATGAGGATGTAAACCTAGAAGGTGGACATCGTTGGAGGATCGCTACAAGTTTTACAATTAAAGTGGATTTTTCTGGAGCCAGTTCATAGCTTATGTTCTTGTCAGCAAATCACCTGTTGATGCCAAAACCAACAATCAGGAGATTCTAGCACCAGATAATGGAACAAATATTACATTAAATCATGAATAAAATGTAAACTATTCTGATAAACCTTTAATTGTATTTTTTCAGGCTACAGTGAAAGGGTTTCTTCAATATGAATATTTTTTTGGTGAATCTAAACTGAAAATCTTCAAATTTTAAACTTTTGTTCAGACAAAACAAAATTTCTTTTATTTTTCATAATGTTTTTAAAACTAAAATAGATTTCTGCTAACAGGAATTGTGTGTGTAGCCATCGCCTGGTTTATACCAGCGTACCTTAAGATCTGTTTCTAGAATAACAGTGAAATCTAACTACTGGCCACGTGTTCCTGGAACACATGAGTTATAGAATATCAGCAGAGACTTGCACTTCCATACCACCACCATGCTGCTATAGCATGATGCTGCCACCACCATGCTTCATCATGATGCTGCCACCACC